ATTTCTTCCTGGACGCTCGTCCCTCGGAGTTTTCGGTGCAATGTCGTCTTTGCCTTGTCTCTGAAGCCCGTGTTCCTCGGCGGCCATTTGCTTCATGGATCCCTAGTTTCCCGTGTCCGTTCCAATGGCTTCCTCAGATATCGCGGCCATCTGCCGTCTATGCTCCTTGTTCACATTCTTCCTTCCTGGCGCCCCCGCAGTTTCTTCCTGAGCGTCTGTACTATCCGGGTTCTTCGCTCAGCCTTGTCCTTGATCCAGTTATTCGTGACGGTGATCTTGCGCCATGCCACTCTTGCACGGCGGGACACCTACCTGCAGGCGGCAGTCAACTTCCTCGGGAATCCACAATATCCTCGGGTCACTTCCTTTGTCCTCCCGCGGCGCCCTGCAGCTAGATGCCAAACCCCGTCTAGCGTCACTCAAACACGTGACAGCTGGCTATTTATAAGCATGCTGGCGTCGTGGGAACGTGGACACGTGATAGAATTCTGGGCGAGTCACATCACTGTATAGTTGTAACATTTACCTTTATCGATCAGATAAATGTGGCAGCGACGGTCTTGACTTTTATTTGGGCGATGCCCGGTTTGAATCTCGGCGAGGATAACGGGGACAGCGACTGTCCCGACTGAGGTTCCTCGTATTTCACCTCAGCCGCTCCAGTTAGTTTCTTAACCTCGATCCCCCTGCCGCTTTACTCCTGGGAAACAGCCCTCAGTACCCATTGCATTTGATGCTGGGTGAGCCTCAGAGCAAATCCAGACCTTACGGAGAAGAGAAAAATGTTTTGCATCTACTGGGAATCGAACCCAAACTCCTCTGTCCACCACGTACCCTTGTCGGTGTACAGAATTAAATATCCTGGCTCCTATTTAATATTCATTACTAAGGATTATCAGATTATGGCATACGCTAGTGGTTCTGATTCTTGTGTCAATGTCTTATAGTGGAAAGTCATGTTGTGCATTAATTTTTAATTTATACAAGTCATAACTTCATGCCTGCATGAAAGTTGGCAATCTATGTAAACTGTTCGCTAACGACTGCACCGCAGTTTCGATTGTTGTACGTTTAGCAGGATTACTGTCATCCTTCACCGTGCGATTGGTTGTGTCGTACCAATACATACATACATACAGTCGGTAGAGCGAAGGGCTACGGGCTCGACGGCCGGAGGTCGATTTTCTCTACTCCACGGCGTCCACACCGAATTGGGGCCCACCCAGCCTCCTATCCAGCGGGTACCGGGGACTCTCTCCTCGACGTAAAGTAGCCGGGGCATGAAGCTGTCCACTCACTCCATCTAGTGCCAAAGTCCCCCATACGTCTTCATGGTGTGATGCTTAATTAAGCACAGGGGCAAACTTACCTTATATTTCATTTAATCCGTTGCATATTTTGTAGCCTTCTCCGAATGGGATTTGGGACCATCGCATTGTGTGTGCTCGCAGAGGACGACTAACACGGAATGCGCGAGCAGGTTGACTCAAGCGGGAATGCTCCTGAATGCTGTTCGGGAGCTACGCGGTTCGATCTCGGCCGCGATACCGACTACCCTAATTGAGATATATCGTTTTCCTCAGTCACTCCTGCATGTACCTGTATATTTTGTATATTAGGCCACGACCGTTTCAATTTATTGTTTACTTACCTCCCTACCATTCGACGCTATGTAATAGTCGTTAAATAATCAATAACACCGAATTACCTGGACACGAATCCATGTTCCGAGCAAGTTCCGAACACAGCCCTAAGAGTTTTCTGCCTCGCTGCCACTGTGATAACTTTAGACGTGATTGAATTTCGTTAATAATCGATTGAATTTCTATTGGTTACAAAAGCGTTAACATACACAACAGTATAACTATAAACTGTAGCTTTATAATTCTGTTTTCTATTTCAATGTTTTTATTACATTCTTATGTGTCATTAGCATCAGAGATTTAATAACTCCATGGATAATAGCGCTTCTTGAGAGTTAAAGTCTCTCAGCTACTCAATTCGTTCACGTTTTATTTAACCGGAGAGTTTCACCTCACGGATCCCTGTTCTTATCCAAATGGATCGTGTGAGCAGCTTCGCATCACGATCTTCCTTCTGCACCTGATTCTTCCAGGTGATTTCTTCCCTTCAGGTTTTCCTACTGAAATTGTTATATAAATTTCTCGTGTTTCCCGCGCATACTAAATGTCTCCCCTGTCTTACAGCCTCTTGATGTGTGGTGGCGCTTACAAACCGCGTAGCTTCTATAGTTCTCTCCAACCTTCTGTTAGTTTTTCCTCTCCTTAAGTCTCCTGAGCGCCCTCGTCTCAATCAGCCCCCAGTATATGTAACATTAACATAACCTTGAAATGGTTACATGCATGGGCTGCTTTGCTTTTGTGACAGTTGCAAATTTTGTTGTAAAGTAGATGATGTAAATAGTGTATCTTGTATCCTGGAATAACCCTTTTAATACTGTAACATTGCATGTGGTAGTTGGCATGTTCTCATTAGCAGTGAATATTTTATTTTAGAAGTAGCATACGTGGTCTTGCAATAAAGTTCACGAACTCATCGCGGAAATAAAAGTGCTACATACTTCATTGCTGAATATCACTGTGGGCACCTTCAAAGTACTCCACTTGGGAAGCTGTGCACCGATGCCAGCGCCTAGTCCACACTTTAAAACAATTTTGGAACTGATTTTGTGGAATGGCCTTCCTGTTACTCGTGATGTCATCAGTGTCATCAAAATGCCTTCCTTTCAATATTTCCTTTATCTTCGGGAACAGAAAGAAGTCACTGGGGACTAGATCCGGTGAACAGGGAGGGTGTTCCAGCACAGTTTGTTTACTAGCTAAAAAACGCCCTCCCAGACACTGCTCTAATTCAACTGGGGACATTCTCACGACGGCACACCAAAACACACTCAGACAGTAATAGACGCCACTCAGAAAGAGACTGCCATAGATCAACAACAACAACAACAACAACAACACAGCTGTGAAACACTTATATGCCATCGTCATCAAACCATACTGAGGTTTCTGTCTACTGCTACCAAGGCAAGCACACGGCGGAGAGTTCGCGAACTTTATTGTCAGACATCATTTTACTTAGATTTAAGAAAAAATACAAGTATAAGGAGATTTTCGGCTTTCTGGGATGTGACACTGTGTAGTTTGGTAGATACAACCATATCGGAAGAACCTATTGACTCCATGTAGAGGATTACTTTGAACATGTAAGGAACAGATTATTCCGAAATGTTTGCTATCTACGTACCAAGCTAAACGGAGCCACAGCCCAGGCTCCAACATCATATCTGCTTCCAGGAGAACCTCATCTCGCAAGCAAAAACAATATTTTAAGTAAGAGCTGGTGTTCCAAAAGAGTTGAACATTAAGTGTGACCAATCGTGTTTCCTCCATCTTGAGGTTAGACTCTTCTACCACAAAATGGAGGCACCGCGTTGTGGCGAGATGTTGGTGAATGTCGACCAGAGTACACTACCAAATTTGAGAAAAAAAAAATACACCATTTTTGGCTTCTCATTTCAAAATGTTACATCAAACATTTAAAGCATATTATTTGTATATGACTAATGCAGTAGGTGGTAAGCGTTTATTGGTCTGTAATTGCCAGCAATGATTTCTATATTCATATGATTATGCAGAAATTAATCTGAGTCGAAACTTCTGGTAGTGGTACTTTAATTCTGTTTCCATTTACCCTCCAGTATCTGCCACTGCAGCTGAGTTTATAAATAAAGCACAATAGGAACTAAGTGACTATTATTTCGGGGGATGTGAGTGCATTTATTCACAGTAATTGTGTCACATCCTACACAAAATATTAAGCGCATATAAGGTATATACTCATATTACTGTCACTTCAGTACACCGAATTTTGGTTACCGTTTCATTCTGAATCATATCTTGCCTACACTTTGCATAAATACTCCAAAAAGCCATAAGTTCATGTACTTTAGTTTGTTCTTTAATAGAGATGTAAATTAACACTGGCAAATGTTGACATTTGCGTAATTTTCTGGAATTAGTCTGAATTTGAAATAGTTTAATAGTTACAGTTCTGTTACAGCTGCTTAAATTCGTTTACAAATCTTTCCGGTTACTTCTTTTTTTTTTTCTCTCTCGTGGCTGATATAAATTCTCGAGTTATTGCTTTTGTCGTCTATGTGGTCTAGTGGTCGACGTTTCTGGTTACAGATCCAAGGGTCCCGGGTTCGATTCCCGGAGCTACCAGATTTTCTGAGAAGTATTGGGTCTGGAACGGGGTTCACTCAGCCTCGTGAATATAATTGAGGGGCTATTTGAAGGAAATAACGGCTCCGATCTAGAAGACCGAAATTAACGGCCATGGGGATCCGTCGCACTGACCACGCGAAACCCTCTATCCGTTGAAGTTGTCACTAACTTCGCCGACAAGCGGCGGTTACTCGGTCGGTATAGTTCACTTTCGGACGACGGGCCACGGAGTTTGTTTCGTTAATTTTAGTTATGGCTTTTGTAGTTCCAAATATAATTCATGAGTTTTGGTTCACTGTCAGAATGCTGTTTCTTGAAGTGCATCAGAATCACGTGAAATGAATTCATATAGGAGCCACATTACAAACTCATGAAACTCATTTCCGGTGGCTGCAGTGGCCCCCGTTAAATTTCAAGTCCCTCGGATTTAGAAAAGAACTCAAACACCAAATCCCGTTGTAGTAGTTGAAGTTCTCACGGCAGTTGGTATGAAGAGTACTATCCGCTGAGATATAACGGCGTGTAGTATGAAATACAACCGACGTTTCGGAGGGGAGTACTCTTCACCAAATCCCATTGCTCAGTTTCTAATATTTTGACGGGGCACATGTGGTTTCATGACGATATTAAATAGAATGCCCACTTGACCCCATTTTTAGAAAACACCTGTGTCATCTTTGAGAAATGTATATTTTTGTGTTTGTGCACTGATAAACTGTACGATAATATTTTCTGTTGTCTTTATTTCAGTACTACGAAATGTCGTATGGGCTTAACGTGGAAATGCACAAACAGGTAAGTGAAATGAATTGCCCAAATCATGTTCTTCACTAAAAGTGTAGTTTTAATATTTTAAAGTGTTATTCAATGTTATGAAATATCATTAATACATTGCATGTATATCGTTTACGCTAAAAGTGACTAATAACTAATTTAANTGTAGTATGAAATACAACCGACGTTTCGGAGGGGAGTACTCTTCACCAAATCCCATTGCTCAGTTTCTAATATTTTGACGGGGCACATGTGGTTTCATGACGATATTAAATAGAATGCCCACTTGACCCCATTTTTAGAAAACACCTGTGTCATCTTTGAGAAATGTATATTTTTGTGTTTGTGCACTGATAAACTGTACGATAATATTTTCTGTTGTCTTTATTTCAGTACTACGAAATGTCGTATGGGCTTAACGTGGAAATGCACAAACAGGTAAGTGAAATGAATTGCCCAAATCATGTTCTTCACTAAAAGTGTAGTTTTAATATTTTAAAGTGTTATTCAATGTTATGAAATATCATTAATACATTGCATGTATATCGTTTACGCTAAAAGTGACTATTAACTACTTTAGAATGTCGCACATGGGCCATCATCAGGCAAACTTTTGATAGGTGAGGAGACAGTTCCAATACGTAATAAGTTTTTGGTTTATGTGTTGGCATGTTTCGTCTTTCGGACATAAAACCCTTGGCGGGGAATAGACTGCGGTGTGCAGCTGGAGAACACCGACTCACTTTACATTAATATGATCTAGCATGGCGGAACTTGATTCAGGCATGAAATTAGACGTGAAATTAGAATACGTAGTAACTAACATGTCATGTCATGTCATGGATTAAATGTGGGATAGGCTTAAGTTACCAGTAAATGTTATGTTGAACACAGAATAGTTTAGATCTGACATAGGCCTATTAGTTGAACATGAGATTACAGAGATGCCATATTGAACACATGATTAATTAGATGTTGAGTTGGACGTGAGATTACTTGAATGTTATGTTGAACATGGAAAATTACATGTAGTATTTTTCATGCTCGATTTATGTAAGTACGGGGCACAAGTTAACATCGATCAATGAATTGTGTGGAGAATTATTGGCTTCAAGGTTTCGACCAGGTTTCATTAACGATTATGATTGAAAACGGAAACCACATCCTTTGTTTCCGAGTTTATATTTCGATACGAGGAACCAAAGTTTGGCTATAGACTACAGCTGCCTGTCTTGTTTATACCTTGTCATTTGGAAATGGTTGGTTTGCAGATAGTGGGATTGTGAAACGTGGTTTAGAACTGAGGCCATCAAAATTAGTGGGTTTTTGGACTTTGCCCACCGCCCGGCATTCTAAAAACTAGAAAACACAACGTTTCGGAAAAATGGGTCTGTTTCCGCCCTCATGTGATAGTGGAGACACCTACTCAGTTTGGTCCCTTAGAAAGAACTAACCTCAATCACCGGACGAACCGTGTACCAGAGTCAGAACTACTTTACGACTGGCGGTTTACCGCCAATCAGTTCGTCTTGGCGTCAAGCTCCTTGAGACCCACGACCAGCTATTTTTTTTTCAACTGAACTCTAGCGGTAATAATCCTTATGTGATATCGTCTCTGACGAGAAGATTGTGAGAAAGCATGGAGAATCGTGGTGGAGTCGAGACAGGAAGGGAAGCAAACCCTGCCAACATACCAAGCCCATGATCACAAATTTATAGTGTTAAATGGAGAATTTGTGAAACCATATTATGCCTACCACTGGCGCCATCTTTGGAGTAAAACCTTAACACTCGAGACTTGTCTCTGGTATTTAAATAGCTGTAGTTAATCTGACATTGGTTGTCCATTGATTGGGGTTTGCTCTTTATACGGGACACATCACGGTGTCTCCCCCTCACCTGAGGACGGCAACAGATCCGGTTTCCGAAACGTTGTGTTTTCTGGTCTTTAGAATACGGGACGATGGACAGAGTCCAAAAACCCAGTAATTCTGAGTGTTATACACCATTGTCAAAATCTACTTCAATCTAGCAAGCTTCAAAACAACTTTGTTGGCAGTACATATGTGATCTGTAACCAGAGTGTTTAAGCCGAATTACAGCTGGGGTCTTTAATTGGCAGCTATTTACTTAACTATACTCACCAAGCGACCGCCAACTAACTAGACCGGAGCCGCTATTTACTTGAAGTAGCTCCTCAGTTATCATCCTGAGGCTGAGTGGACCCCGTTCAAGACCCACTAATCCGAAAATTTGGTAGCGCCGGGAATTGAGCCCGGACCTCTGGATCTGTAGGCAGGAACTCTGACCAGAATACCACAGAGGCGGCCAGCTATTTACTTAATATATTTTTTAAGAAGAGGACATTAATATAGAGAGTAAATTTTTAATAATTTTAATACAAGTCTCTAACAGACTTGATTACAGGCTACAAGTTAGGATGGCGTGACTGGTTTGAGTAAAGTTTGGGACCGAAGTTTCGAATTAGTTATGAATGTTACATTTGGAATGCGACACAACTCAGTTAAAAAAAGGCTGAAATTGATAATGCAAGTAAATTAAACACGTCGATAATTTAATGCCATGAGAATGATCCTGCAACTTTGAGTACTCTAGCGGTATTGTGTAACTGTTTCGTGGCAGTGTTCGCGTCTTTCCTCTTAGCAATGTGTTCCCCTACAGCAGTAGTGCTGGCTAAGAATATGCAATGCGCAATGACCTGGATTCTCATTTAAAAGAGAACTAAATGAACAGGAAGCTCGGTTTAAAGCTGATCTCTGTTGATCACACGGTTCGTAATTCCATCTCATTGATCATTAATAAAATGTACCGAATTTTGCCATTACTTTTAATGACATATCTTTGAGTATGAAGAACCTGCAGTACGCCTAATATGTGGTTCGTGCATGTCTACACCTGCCACACAATATTCACGGGCGATTATAAATAATACTTGGCCAGAATTTTGTTAACTTGGGCAGATGTTGTAATACAATGAGCCACCATTTAGACCGGGGAAGGAAAATTTATGATGGATGGAAAAAAAAAAGGTAAAGCTGTCCCTGTAACAGGCCGTGAAGGCTCATAGGGTTTTGGGACGTCGAGGCCCCCATATTTTCTCCAGAGAATCGGCTCACAGATGGCGCTGGCCGCCCTTTACCCTCCAGGAAGATTCCTGGTACTCATTTCTGTTACAGGCTGGGTCGACCCCAGGACCATAGTGCTGCTGGAAAGATTAGGTAAATTGGAAAAAAATCCACCTCATCGGGACTCGAACCCGCGACTTTCCAGCTTGTAACTCAACGAACTACGCTACCGCGTGCCCCCATGGTGGATGGAAAGAGATGCAATTTCCAATCAAGAGGCAGTTTTGCACGTCTGTTTATTCTGTTATGTCAAACTGTTTCACTTATATCGCCACCTCTGATGCAGTTTCAGAAATCATACTAACTGGAGACTGATGTTCCCTGCTTCTTAGGCAGTGTTTCCGAGAAGGAGCGTGATTTATGCAACGTGACCTAGATTCTGAAGCAAATTCAGTTACGCTGAAGGATATTGTTCTTCCACGGGCTATATGCAACCGAATAGAAGTTATAAGAACATTTTTGTGACGTGTTTTTCAGATGAGGTATAAAGCAAGGAAAAATACATTGAATAATTCTATATCTTTGTGCTCGGGATATCAAAGGACTGTTGTAGTGCTGCAGCACGGTGCCTTTGTTTTGGCTCATAGCTCGCCCTACATTCTGTGGCGTACACTGCACGTAACCCTTTCCCTGCGGCACATTGACACACAGTGGCACCCTACATTCTGCTGTCACACTGACCGCTCTAGCGGGACGACATTGTTCACGTCTGAGTGGGGGAAATGATCTGAGGACACAGTTTGGACACCACTGGAGTGTTCTGTGTATGTTGGGGCCGCCTAGTCACGCGCCACACAGAATTAACATGAAAAAGGGAGAACGAAAATACAGTAATAAGGTAAAAGGGCGGTTATTAGGACTAGGGGTGTGGGTGGATGGATGTAAAGGGGGCTGAAAAGGGGGGAAGAGGACTAGAATGACACGTGGCTCTATCACTTTAGCGTCACCGGTCATGAAGGGAGGAAAGGGGATGCGTGTGTGAGGGTAATCACAGAGATTTGGGGACAAGCATGGGGCTGGGAATTGTTTGAGGGATGAAGAGAGAGAAAGAGAGAAACTAGAAAGGGGGAGTAGTAAAAAGGATAATCATCTCTCATTATGTGTGTATAAAAGCGGTACCACCACCAGCAGCAGCACATGTTTGATATAGTGTTATATATGTATGCCGCGCGAGGGCTTGATGCGTTGAGGATTATTGGAGTCGCTTTGATTACTGAGAATTGTTATGGATAATAATAGGAAGCCTGGACTCTTTGGGATGTTGTAAATTGGGCGGCCCATGTATTATAGATATACATGCAGAATGCTTGTATATTGATCGGTGGATGATTCTAGAGGTCATTGCTAGTAACACAACTACCACTCATGCGTCTGATATGCCCGTGGTTAAAACTCCGCATACTTTTAGAGGAAATGCCATATTAGCTCCTACTCCATCAACATTTTTCACAATGACTCTTCAACCAATAAACCGATACTAATTCAGTGTTTTTTTTTTTGTATCGGGAGCGGAGAGCGCTCTCTTTGTTCCCAGCGGGGAGAGGTATTTTTACTCGGTTATCAGCATCGGGGTACATCGACTGCGTGTGCTGCTGGATACCCGGTCTCGAGTGCGTTCGCAAGGTCGCCATTGGTTCGAAAGAAACTCGTCATGTTAGCTCAGTAATTGATCTAATATCCATTGTGTAATACTGGCAGAGAAAGCAGTTCGCAGGTGACAGAATAAATAAGAAGTTGGTAACATCAGTTTTGTAATATAATTTGGATACATTGGGGGGACACGCGTTAGCGTAGTTGGTTGAGGCAGTATGCTACATGTACAAACCGGAAGGTGGCGGGTTCGATTTCCGATGAGATAACTGAATTTTTCAATTA